GTTAAGATACTTTTAAACCTTGGGAAAGAGAGGCTAGCCATTTAGGAATTAGACCAGGCTGTATATAACAGCCTAAAATGACAGTGACTTATACACATAAGAGTTTGATTTTCTCACATCAAAGAAGTCCACACGTAGGCAGTTCAAGGTCTCTGTATGTCAAGACTCAGCGTCCTTTTACATTTCTGCGTTAACATCCTAGTTAGTGACTGCCATCTTTGGTGAAGGTCTTCTCATTCCCAGAAAATAGGAGGCGGGAAGGGGCAAAGGGAAAAGGGGGCCAGGCCTCCCTTTACTGTGCTTCCCAGTTTTTTCTTGCATCTCATTGGCCAGTAAACTAGCTGGGAAGAAGTTGGGAAGTGTAGTCTTATTCCGAAAGGCAATGTTCCTCTCTAAAAGTCAGGGTTCTGTTATTACCAAGGAAGAAAGACTGTTCAACAGTATGTGTGTATATATGTGTGTATATATGTGTGTGTGTATGTATGTGTGTGTATATATATGTGTGTATATATGTATATATATGTGTGTGTGTGTATATATATATATAGAGAGAGTATTAAGTTACATGATCATAAGGTCCCACAATAGGGTGTCTGCAAGCTTGAGGAGCAAGGAGAGCCAGTCTGAGTCTCAAAACTGAAGAACTGGGAGTCCAATGTTTGAGGGCAGGAATCCTCCAGCATGAGAGAAAGATGTAGGCTGGGAGGCTGGGCCAGTCTCTTCTCTTCATGTTTTTCTGCCTGCTTTATATTCATTGGCAGCTAGTTAGATTGTGCCCACGAGATTAAGGGTGGGTCTGCCTTCCCCAGCCCACTGACTCAAATGTTCATCTCCTTTGGCAGCACCCTCACAGACACACCCAGGATCAGTACTTTGCATCCTTCAATCCAGTCAAGTTGACACTTAGTGTTAACCATCACAGGTTGTGTGTAAATCACTGAAATTGGCCTAGAGTCATTTTGCAAGGGCCTTCTGCCCAAAGATGGGTGGATTCCCTGGGAGTTCGGTCAGCAACACACCAGATTCTTCTGTCTGCTTCTGAAGGCTGACTTGACTTCTGGAGGCTTCTTCCTGGAGCAGGCCTAGTTGGATGAGATAAAAGTACTCTTTGAGATCTCACAGAGTAGGATTACTTGAGTTATAAAATCTAATCATGGACTTAAAATATGTAAATAGGAGCTTTCAGATTCCAAGTTCAACAAGCATTGTTCACAGTTAGTGGTTGCTTTTGTGATATTTTGGGAAGAACATGGGCATACAATTTAGCTCTACCACTTGCTACGTGACCAGCTGCCAGTTCCTGAACCCTCCTGTGTCTCAGTTTCCTCACTGATTGCTGAGAGGAGTAAATGAAATCATTTGTGTGTGGGTTTGTGTGTGTGTGTATGCAATACAGGTTTCCATGTAGTTGTGATAATATCGAACTGATTCTTTTGAATCTTATTTTCTTTATTCAATGCCACATCATACTCATTTTCCATGTTATTACACATGTTTACAGTGTCAATATTCATTTAACCATTTTCCTATTTTTGAATATTGAAGTTGGATATTTGCTTCCAGACTTTCTTGATGCAAAAATCTTTGAAATTATTCATTTAACTAGATTTTCAGAAATTAAATTGCTGGGTTAAGGAGATTTGGATATGTATTGCCAAATTAGTTTTCCAAAAGGCTTTAACTAATTTATTCTACCAACAGCAACAGAGAACAGAGCACATTTTTGTCATTCTTAAGCATGTCATAAGCCACATTCATACTCCAGCCTGGGAAACAGGAGCGAAACTTCCTCTTAAAAAAAAAAAAGACATGCATATTATAATTTGTAACATGACAATTTTATAGGTGAAAAATAGAATCCTGGTTTTAAGTTTTGTATTTTTTTTATGACTAGTGAGATTGCATTTTATTCAAATGTATTTTCCAGTTTGAGTTCCATTTTTGTAAGTTGTTTGTCTGGTATGGCTCTAGTGCATTAATCTGTTGAGTATTAGAATACAGAACATCTTCAACATTCAGTTTGGTGTCCTGATTGTGAAATGACTGCATCTGTGTTATATGTGTGTGATTGTATTCAACTGGGAATATGTGCTTTTTGGCTAATGTGCAAAATGCTGGGTGCACCAGAGATGTGTCTGGAATTCATGTGATGAGACCTTTACCTATTTCTCCTTCCAGAGAATCTTTAGTTGTAGCTGGAGAAAAGCCAAGTGAATTCCTTTTGGAGCTGGGTAGAAAGGGCATGGAGTGAAGAGTCATGAAGTCAGCACATTCCCTTGTGGATTTGTGCCTGTAATATGCTGATTTCTACCCTGATTTTCTACCTCTCATTTTGCCTGAAGTGACACTGTCCCTAGACCAGTCCCTGGCCAGCCTGCATCATTTCTTTTGGGGTTATCTGAGGATCTGAGGTCCATGTGTTTCACAAGTACCCACAGGATGTGCCCACCATTCCCCTGCAATTCAATTCCAAGTCTGTGTTCTGAAGTAGAGGTTTCAGCCCTGGGGAGACACTTGTGGGTGTTGGGGGTGAGGGGTGGGCCTGGGGAAGGACTGAGTCATGAAGGTCACTAGGACCTCAAGGAAGAGAATGAGTTTCACCAGGTTTACCTCTTCAGAAGGGATCTCAGCCGTGCAGATTCTTGGAGGTAATTATGAGGCTTTTAAAGTTCCAGAGATGTCTTTAGCTCTGAGCAATGTTCTGAGGAGTAAAGTCATCATCAGCCCATTTTGGCCCTATGTGGACATCTTCTTTCCCACTCTTTCCTCTTGGGAGGAAGGACTCCAGTTTCACAGCTTGCCAGGGCCTTGGGCTTGTAGTATGGGAAGAATATGGAGCCAGGTGGAACTCTTGACCATAAGGATTTCATGTCCTGATGACTTGAGTCTTTAGGCCCAGAGACTGTTCAGAATCTAAGCAGCTACAAAATTGGGACTTGAGGGGGACTCAACAAAACTTGGCTTTAAACATTAGAATTAACAACAAGAGAATGGTTAAATGGGTTCAGGTATAAAAGACTGTGCAGTAGTTAAAAAGAAATAGGAATATAGACATAAAAAGATCTTTGAGATGTACTGTTAATTTAAGAAAACAAGTAGTAGAATAAATTTAAAAATACAATCATGTTTATGCAAAAGAACAACAACAAAAAAAAAACCTAGCTTTCCCCCCAACATGTACACACATGAAACCATACCCAGGAGGTGAGGAAGATGCCACACTCAACGAATAACAGTGGCTGCCTCTGGGCAGTGTGTGTGAGGGTCAACCAGACTTTGTACTTTGTGTTGTTCACATTTTAAAAGATAATGTAATTACGTCTTTCTGCTGTAATCAGAAATAAAACACAGAACAACTGGCTTGAAAATCTGGGATCCAAATCCTTCTGCTTATCTGAGACCTAGGTGGTCACTGGCTCAGTCCTGATGCAGAGCAATGGCACTGACATTGAAATTGCACTCAAAGAAACCGAGCTGCAGCTCACCATGGACATGCTGTAGGATTCCAACAAACCAGGAAGTGCTCTGAGCTTCACAGGGTTGTTGTGAGTATTAAATGAGATAATATATGAATGTGCTTTGCAAAAGTTAAATTGGGAGACAAATGTAAGATAGAAATACTATACTGTGTCATTACATTCTTGTCCTAGCTCCCAAAATGAAAGTGGGATAAGAATGCAAGCACCACAACCCGATGAAGTAGATACTATTATGATCCTCTCCATTCCATAGTTGAGGAGTTAACTTTTAGTTAATTTTCTATTGGTCATTCGGCTGTTCAGCTGCAGTCATAACTTGAACCCAGGCTCCCTTCTGTTCTCAACTGCCACGGCATGTTGAAGCACTTGGACACATTTACAGCCATGTATATATATTTACCGTTTGCTTCTTGTAGCAGTTTCGACAAAGTTGAGATTTAAACCTCCAAGAACAAATATATGAAACTGATTCTAAACACTGTTGAGTATTTATGATGTGTTTGTGCTAGGCATTGTAGGAATAACAAGTGGCCAACATTTTCTGATCATCTGCTGTGTGCAAGACTCTCTTCTAAGCGCTTTACATGTATTAGTGCACACAACTTTATGCAAGAGGTATACACAATTTTATACAAGAGGTACTACTGTGCTCATTTTACAATTGAGAAAAACGCTGCACAGAGAGTTTAAATATCTTACTCAAAGCAAAGACGTTGGAGATATGGTCCCTACCCTGAGTCCAATATGAGTGAAATAAATAAAACAATGGCGCAGTGCTGCAATGCGGCTATTTACAAAGTTCCAAAGGCGCTTAGAGAGGACCATCCCTGCAGGGGAAAGCGAAAAACTTTGAGATCCTGAAAGGCAGAGGTTCGAGCAGTGGGGCCACATGTGCAAGGCCCTGGGCTGAGTAAGAACCTGATCTCACGTTCTGGGTCAGAATCGAGCTCCATCGGGACCGCAGCGCAAGCCAAAGAAATGCAGTGGCTGCTGTCCTAGGCTGGCCCTTCCGCATAACCCGGGGGCATCCGGCAAGGGGCTCCGTGTGGGCCCCCAGCTCCGGCCACACAGAGCCCCGCTCCCCTTGGGCTGCGGGATTGGTAAGCAGCAAACTGAGCTGAAGCGGCCAGAAACCCCCTTAGAGGGCAGAGTGAGGACTGGTGGGAGAGAAAAGCCTAAAGGGACTATAGCAATTGGCTGCTGCCTTTTCCACCGTGGAAGGGTCGGGCTGACACTCCCAGCGTTGGGGCTTATTCAGGTAAAGATGATGTCTGGAGCCCCCTCTTGCTTCAGAGACCTCCCGTCCTGCGCGTGTCACTACCTCCCCAGAAACCAGATGGCCCTTAAGAGACTTAGCCAATCATCATCCACGGCCATTACCGTGGAGAGCCCAGCGCTGTCAGTGAGTTTCTGATTGGCTGTTGCTGGATGGGGGGGGGGCGGGCCCGGAGAGGAGCCCCGCGGCCTTGTGAAGGAGCCCTGCTTCCCATCGTTCTCTCCAACTCAGGACGGATGGTGCCCTCAAGTGGTCTCTAGGGGTAATGCCTCGCGCTGTTGCCCCGCGGAAGGCAGGCTTGGCTTGCCAGGCTCCTGGAGAGGAAAGCCTTTTAACCTAAATGAAGTAGAAAGAGAAAGACCTAAACTTGAATAGGAATCAGTCGTGCGGAATATTTATTTCTCAGAGAGCTCTCAGCCAGAATGCCTGTCGTCGGTTCCAGCTCTACACTAACTCAGTTTCCTTTTTTTCTTGGGCCTCATCTGTCGGATGGGGACAATGATAACACCTATCTCCAAGGGTTGCCATGAGGTTTCAATGAAATTAATATGTTTAAGGTTCACACAGTGCCAGGCACACAGTAGGTGCACGATAAGCAATAACTGGTGGGGATCAGTACACTGGTTAAGAATGAGCATTCTGGATCAGGTGTCATGACTCACGCCTATAATCTCAGCATTTTGTGAGGCTGAGACAGGAGGATAACTTGAGTCCAAGAGTTTGAGACCAGCCTGGGCAACATAGTGTGACTTTCTCTCTGCGAAAAATAAAACAAAATTAGCTAGATGTGTGATGTGTGGAGGCTGAGGTGGGAGGATCACTTGAGACTGGGAGGTCAAGGTTGCAGTGAGATGAGATTGTACCACTGCACTACAGCCTAGGAGATAGAGTGAGACCTTGACTAAAAAAAAAAAAAAAAAAAAAAAAAAAAAAAAAAGCGTTCTGCTATTTGAAAGAATGGCTGTTGAGTCCCAGCCCTGCTTAGCACTAGCATGGTGGGATTACATAGCCTCCCTGTTTCAGTTTCCTCATCTGGAAATGAGACTAACAATAACACCTACTTCATGGAATTGTGGTTTAATTGTGATAATACTGATAAAATACCCAATACAAAGCAACCAATAAATGTTGGCTCCTATTATTCATATCATTTAACTATTATGATTATTATTTCCCTTCTTCCTCCCCCAGGCAAGAGACCATTCATCCTGAGTTGGCCCTTCTGAAAGAGGAATAGTGGCTTGCTTTGTCTGGAGTTAGTCTGTAAACCTATGACGTTCACATGTATGAAGATAGGACTTGGAAAATCTGTATATCACACTCTTGTCCACAATGTGCATTATTCTTTTAGGCACTGTTTTCTTAAGCCCCACTGGTACCCAACAAAAGCATAACATTGTAATTATTAACTTTTTGGTGCAGAATTAGTTTATTAGTTTATTAGAGTATCTTTTAAGTCGACTCAGTGTTGAACAGTATTCTGAGGGCAGTGTACATAGAAGGACATGTACTGATGAAGATAAGGGTTTCAGGGGTTTGAAATCAAAGGACATAAGTCAGCATATACTCTAGGGTGAGCCTGGGTTGGGACCAATGATGGTGAGGTGTGTGGTGGTGTTTGGGTGATTGGCTGGAAGCAGGGAACTCTGGAGTCTGAGTCATGGGAAGATTACTGGACTAAGACTTGGAGATTTGAATTCTGGCTATAACTAAATCACTCTCTGGCTGTATGATCTTGGACAGTCACTTATATTTTCTGAGAACTGATTTCTTTGAAGTAAAATGAAAACAGAATATGATTCTTTTGTGTAGTGCATTATAAGCACTCTATAACTGCTAGTTATTATTCATAGTGTTATGAATAATTCCTCCTCAAAAGTATGTTGCAAGAATCATGGAAAAATGTAATCTGTTAAATTTTTATATTTCAAGAGTGATGAGTGCCTAAGATCACCAAATTAACAGTTTGGGAACTTGGCAAGGGTTAGTCTACCTTTCCTTGCTTTTCCATTTTGTAGTTCTTATCTCCTCTTCTGTCCTTAGTTAAAAGTCTATCCTTCAAGTCACACAAGTGACCCAGTTCAATAAGGACCTTCATAGTTCTTTGGATGCCTTCCTACTCTACCATACATTTGACCACCTTCCATCATTTGCCCCACATACTTCCTTCCCTTCTGGCCTATAAGAGAGGACTCTAGCCAGAGCTTAGGGCCTGCATACAGTGGTCTCATGTATATTGGCAGCCCCAGGATTCCTGGGTTCTTCTTCGGGTGAATGACCTTGTAACTGAAGCCCAAAATTTAAGGGTGGTACTGCTAAGCACATATTGTGGAGGTAGGTGGGTAGGACAGCTGACACCCTCTCCAGTTAATCCTCCAGCTACAATTTTTGGTGTGGTTACTATAGCCTGGTGACTTTGGAGGCCACATTCTTTCATTCTGAAGATATATGTAGAGTTATTTCTCAGTTAAAAATGAAGAGAGGCATACTTTTTAGTGGGAAAATATGGGGCTTTTGTGTTGGGCAGATTTAAATTTGAATCTGGTCCTTTACTATGTAATCTCAGAACTAGTTGCTTATTTCTACAGTTTGCTTATCTATAAAATGGGGACAATTGGAATACCACTCAGCAGTAAAAAGGAGTGAACTTTTGATAAATGCAATAACATAGGTGAATCTTAAAATAATCATGTTGGGTATAAGATGCAAGACAAAAGGATTACACACAGAGATTATATAAAGTTCTAGAAAATGCAGACTAATCTGTAGTGTCAGAAAGCAGATCAATGGTTGCCTGGGGATGAGCAAGTGGAGGGGCAGGAGGAAGGATTACAAAGGGAGATGGGAAAACTTTTGGAGCTGAGAGATATGTTCATTACCTTGATTGCAATATGGCTTCCCAGGTATATACATATATCTAAACTTATTAAATTGCACATTTTAAATATGCGCAGTTTATGATATGTCAGTCTTTCAATAAAACTGTTAAAACGGGGTAATAAAATCTATTCATAAATAGTTGGTGATATTTTAATGAAGAAAACATGTTAAAGTGCCAGAAATACAGCAGGCGATCAGTAATGGGCACTGTCTTCTTCCCCATTTTCATACCTTAAAAAAGAACACTAGGGAATTAACTTTGGCATCATAGTTATATGACAAAGCCTATAAATGGCACTAATACCTTAAGCAATATAGAATATACATTTTCCTGTCTTTCTTGGTCTCATAGGTACAGTATTATAAAGATTAAATGATGCAATCACATAAGGAACTTTGAAGAGTTCTGGGCATATAGTAAGCACTCATTAAATATTTTTTTGTTGCATTTACTACTATTGTTATGATGGGTTTGATGGAAGGCATGGAGTGAATAATCAGTAAATATTGGTTACCCATAATTGTACTTATTTTCATTATTAAAGTGGATAAGGAGGAAAGATTTGCGAAAAGATCAAGGAAGTTGACTTTCAAAAGAGTTTGCTTTTCTTGAGATTTGATAGGGCTTGGATTTTTATGTTTGGTTGGTGCTAAATTGTGACAGAAAACATCTGGAGGAAAGTTGGTCAATGTCTTCTACAGGAATATAGCAACTCATTATGATTGTTAATATAGATGGTATTAAAGGTAGCAGGTGCATTTATAATGATCAGTGAATTTAAATGGGATTAAATGGTTTCCAGCCGTAAACAAAGTGGTACCAACATTTGGTAGACATTATCTTAGCGTCAGACATAAGAATCTCCTGAGGCACTCCTTAAAATGCAGATTTGTGGAACCTACCCTCAAAGTTTCTGATTCAATGGTTCTTGGATGGATCAGGAATCTGCAGTGTAATGCACACACTCAGTTGATTTTAATGCAGGTTATCTGTAGATCATACTTGGAGAAGCACTGGTCTAAGACATTTGGGACCTTGGACAGCTCCTTGTGACCTTGGACCTAGGTTTCAGGACCCGAGACAGAGCCCAGAATTTCCAACTCCATACCTTGTGGGAAATTTACTTTAATTCTCAAGGAAGCATGCTCATTTTCCTAGAAACACCACCACCACCACCAGCATTCCTTAAATCCATACTTTTGGAAACTGGAAGTTCTGATTTCTGATGGCCAATAAGGAGAAGGCACACATGGTGCACCCATAGGAGAAAATAGTCTAAACCCAGAGTACTTAGCTTGGAAACTCTGATGTTGTGAGGGTGCATGTAGTTTTCAGAGGATCTGAGACCCTCCTGAAATTGTATGTAAATTTGTGAGGAAGCTTATGCACGTATATTTTCATGGATGGGGAAATTTTTCTCCACTTCAGAGTGGAAATATTCTGGATACACCAATGTACATGCTTTTAGGTACAACTTATGTACTTTGATGGACCTCTTAAGATATGTGTGGGTGACTAGAAAATTTTATTTAAATTCTTCCTGTTACTCAAGCAACTAAAAAGTATATATGTATCCCTTCAAATATGAACATATCAATGAAAACAAGCAAACGATCTCTGAAGGTGTCCAACTCTGACATTTCAAGCTATAATTTGAAAAACTCTCAAGTATTGTGATTGAAGTCTATTAAAGCTGGTACAGAATTGGATATATCTCACCTTGGCTAATCTAGAAACTTTATATTACTGAAAGAACTGTCTCATTATAAGCCACAGCTAATGTGAGAAATAAGGTTATTTGGATGACTAAGGAATTTTTTTCATATATTATTTGATCATTAAATGTTCTTATTTTTGACAGCCTTACCAAAAGACAAGGAAGTGATAATGGGGTATTGAATTAGGTAACATTTGCAGCAGGTCAAACTATTTCTATAGACAAGGTGATAGCCATTCACAATATTTCACTTAGAATATGTTCTCAAAGGCAACCCATTTAATAGCAAGCAAACCATCACATTCATCATCTGTGACCTGTCTGGTTGTAAACCACAGCTTAATATTCTAATATGTGCAATATATCTGTAAAGATAAATTTATTCTCTCAAAGGCATAGCCGATTTGAACTTCTGTCTTGAAAGTGTTGTTCTTTGACTATGAAGAAAATTCTCTTGAGTCAGTGCCCCAAAGACATGAACTATTCCAGTGATAGGAGGAAGCAGGGCTGTTAACATGCTCATTAACTCCACAAGAGACTACAGCTATACATTGGGAGGCAGATTGTCTCAACAACCCTGACATTTTTCTTCCTATGAGGAATAGTGAGATAGAAATTACTGGCTCAAGGCTCCAAGAAACTCAGATAGCTTTGTAAAATTATCTGTACTAATTTTAAAGCAAAGATAACCCAGAGAGTTTGTTTTCCTGGCTTCTACGACACCAGCTTCTCATGTTTCATTCCCCACTTCTAATCTCCTTGGATGCTCCCTTTCAGTCTCTTTACTGGACCCATCTTCCTTGCTTGACCTCCTAGGCACCTTTCTGGCTCTTATGTATGCCATCTCCCTGGTGGATTTCATTTAGTCCCATAATTTCAATACCATCTATATGCAGATGACTCACAAGTGTAAATCTCCATTGACCTTCCTTTGAGCCTGCAGGCTCATAAATCAAACTGTCTACTTGATGTCAGACTGCCTACCTGACTTGAATGTCAAACAGGCATCTGAAATGTAAAGAGCCCTACACAGAACTCTTTATCATCTGCTTTTTCCTCTCCCTAAACTGTCTCTGGTCTCTTACTTGGAAAATGGCACCATCTTCCAAGTTTCTTAAGATAAAAACCTGGGAGTCACTCTGTTCTTTTCCTTGCATTTAACATCCAGTTAATCTGTTTTGTCTTTAAAATATATCCCCAATATGTTAGCTTATTTCCATTTCTACAACTATCGCCTTCAGTTTGAATAATCAACTTCTCTCCTCTGGACTATTTTAATGGTCTTTTAATTATTCTCTCAGCTTCTGTTGCTGTCCCATTCCAATTCTTTCTCCAAACAGCAGCCAAAATAAAGGATAAATGACATCATATCACCCTTCTTAACACTCACCAATGGCTTCTCATTGCATTTTGTACAAAATTTGGACTTCTTTATTCTTTTTTCTGTGGCCTTTAGAACCCTACATGATATGGTTGAGTCTATATCCCTGACTCTTCTCACACTCTCTCTTGCTGCTCTGCACCAGCCACATTGGCCTTCTTTCAGTTACTGAAACAAGGCTGTTTCCTCTGTTCCTCTTAAAATGCTTTGAATGACCATGGATTACCAATAGGATGCTGCTGACATTTGGGGACCTCTTAGCTGACCCTCTCTTTAGACGCCATCATATAAATACTTTCTATACTGAGCTCAAGTCCTTTTCTGAAGCAAAACGGTATACCAGGGATGCACATGGATTGCTAATGCAGACTCCCCTTAAGGGAGTCTCTTCTAATGATTAGAATGGAAACAAAATGAGGTTTTGTTATCCAGAAATTAAAATAACTTAAGAAGACAGGACTCAAATATACACATGCTTTGTTCTATAACACATTTTCTTCACCTTATTTTAACTTTTGTAGTAGTTTGGGCCTGACAGTCATCTTACACATATTTAAATGACTTAATAAAATGACATGTTATATGGTTTAAGAGAGGTAAATGCTTTACAAATTTGGAGAGAGAAAGAAAACAAAGGGGATCTACTTCTTTTCCTAGGCACCTAATTTTGTGGCTGTTAGAATTTTGTTCCCAAGTCACAACCAGACTCTTATATATGTCTCCAACACTCTTTTCCAAGGTTGTTTCCTGAAGTTCTCTGCATGGACCCGACCAGCCCACTATTTCCAATCTTTTTATTACCTGGGTCATGCCATCCTCACAGCCTGGAGATTGTTCACTTTAAGGCTCAGCCTAAATTCTACCTCATTTTTGATTCCTTCCCATCAGAATGAAATGTTTCTTCCTCCCCTAGCATGTTTCTTTTACCTCTGCTTAGCATGTATTTCATTCTGTCTTGTGTTCCAGTGGATTGAAGACATGGTTCTCTCTTCCAAGCCTGCAAGTGTCTGGAGAGCAGGGATGACTTTCTGTCCATCTCAGCATCTCTCACTATGCCTACCCTATGCTTTGCATCCAATGACGAATGTTTTCGTTCAACAAACAATTACGTGTCTATCATACTCCAGGCACTGGTCTAAGCCCTTTAATATAACTATATAGAGAAAGCTCTCTGCCTGTGACTAAAGTTTACATTACATTATTATTTTCAATTAAATAGATTTGCATTTTACTTCAATATTGCAAGACAGGTGGCTTCTCTTCTATTTTTTAAATTTTAGATGCCGGACTTAAACAGATGGCTATAT